GTGGGAGAAAAATATATGGGTATAGACAGATTAGTTCCATGGCAGATTGGAGAGAGAGAGAGAGAGGGGCAGAGGGTTTAATTGGGGGTGACGTGTGTTTGGGTTCAAAATGGGCGGGATTTATTTTTTGGGTTGAGATGCATTGCAAGCCATTGGATTGAAATGGAAGAAATGAGATGAAAATGTGGGCCTTTGAATTAAAAGTGGATTTAATCTGAGCCGTTCTTATGCTTTTCCAAATAAATTAAATTTTAAAGTAGAAAAAGATTCAAAATGAGTCCTATCTTATTAGTATAGATAAAATATGATTATTTATTTCTCTCTCTCATATATATTTATATTAGTAATTGCCCGTACCTTAAGGTACTATATTACTCGTAAAAAAAATGACAAATATATGTTCATGCATAAAGACAATGTATAACCCAAAAAATCAACAATTAAGAAAAATGAGCATAAGCAAAAGAAAAGTGACACACATAATTCATTTTAAGGGACTGAATAATTTTATGGCCTCAATAAATTCAAAAAGAAAAAATGAGCATAATTTAATCTAAAAAATTTCACCCTCTATGCGCAATAGATTTGGAACTAAAAAAAAATGGACCCCCTATGAAACTTTCCTTGAGAAATGATGGCATCCTGCACAAATTGGCAGACCAATAGATATTAATATTTGCAAGTAGCCATATCCATATTTTAAATAAGCATGAATTGTATTGTCAAATCATGAACAACTAAACATTATCAATCATAAATGGGATCATCTATTTATCCATTTCATTCCTTTGTTCATTGTAGCAATAATAATATGATTTCAAATGCCTTAATTTGCAAAAAAGTCCAATTTGCTAAATCACTTCATTAATAAACTCAATCACACGAACTCACCAAGAAAAATCATATCATATTGAGGAGAAAAAGAATACCAGAAAAAATGCACCAAATGACCATATATGCATTTGTAATATTTCTACTCTATTATTTACACAGCACACACATGCATCATAGCACCCAAAAGAGATAATCACCTCTTTTCAATTTTTGAGAGGATCGTTGATTAAACCATCATTCTTATATTGTGGATTCTTTTGGCACCATTATTTGTCTAAAAAATCAAAACCATAAGTAAACTCTATTGGGAACTAAAGAGTAATAAAATAAAAAATGAAAGGCAAAACAATTAAAGAAGCATTAAGGACAAAATCACAAATCAATTCGCATTTTACCATTTGAAGCTTGTGAATCCTTTTGAACTGTGCATGTTTACACAAATTGTAAATTATCAATTTTTTTTTTTATCGTCTCATTCAATATACTATTTATCTCTCTATGTCAAGTTTTCTTACATTACTGCATTAAATCTCTCTCTTAGCTTTAATCTAGAACCAAGTCATGGGGAGTACTTCAAATTATAGTATCATTAGTAAAAAATATAATCTTATACCAACTCTAAGACACTGATGCCCCCACTAAACGAATAGGTTATATTAGACATATTTAATGTACATAGCTTACACCAAAATTCCTCCCTCAATAATATGAATTTTCTAGATTTGATCATTTGATAAAAAGCCAAAAAAAAAATTAGAATTTTTTTAGAGAAATTGATGACACAACAGTTATGAGGAGTAATTTCATTTGAAGCTATTCAAATGAAAGCATAAATACAGGTACATATACAAAGTATAACACATATGACAATACGGGTGATAAGGGACATGCCTCTAGTTAATCTTGCTCCTTTGAGAGAAAAGAAGTGTTAGAAAAGAAATGTTGCTCTGTGATTGAATGCTTCGACCTTAAACGGTATTGTATTAGCCTTACCACTACTCTTCCTATATATTGCTACACTAAAAAAATCAAATGAAAACAAATATGCACAAATGCATGATCGACTACTACATTTTAAGGTTTGATTTCCTTCTTCAAACTGAACTTTTCATCCTCCTCTTCTTGCCGATAGTCCTTTTGCCAATTTCATTCTATGTGATAATTTCTTGCAATGATTCACAAAATTCAAGAAACCCACAAAAAATTGATGAAGAAATAATCTCAATGGAAGTCATGAAATAGAGATCTGTTAATTAAAATTTTAAAGGACAAGATGAGAAAGATTACAACTTTCTGGGTAAATGATAAGTAAACATAAACACACAGACACACACACACAAACCCATAACACACACTCACACAAAACACACAAAAAATTCAAAACACACGCACAGTTAGAGAGAGAGAGTTAGATGAGAGATAAGGAAGAGGGAGAGAGAGAGGTGATGGGTGAGGTAGGTAGAGAGTTAGTATGAGATAGGAAGAAAGAGTTAAATGAGAGACAGAAGTCTTAAAAAAAATTGGCACAAGGACCGTCGAATCAATAATCGTTAAAAGATTTGAGCCGCTAAAAGTTAACGATAAAGAAATTTAGTTACTTTATTATATATATATATATACACATACAATAACATTAAAAAAATAGTAACATTTAAACAAAAAAAAATATCATCCAAACACAAAAAATAGTATCATTTAAACACAAAAAAAGTAATAACATTTAAATACAAAAAAATAACAATATTCAAAAACAAAAAATTAATAATATTAAGTATTAATATTTGAGAAAATAACAGTAGTAACATTCTAAACAAAAATAGTAATATATCCAACAAAAACAGTGACATGCACACAAAAACAGTAACATTGTAAAAAATTTATATATAGAGAGAGAGAGAGTATCACTTATTATTTGAATATAAATTTCAAATTTATGTAAAAAAAAATTATTGACATATCTTTATTGATAGTGAATTAATGAATAATAATTCTCAAGTTATGAAACTAATTTAAAGTTGCTTTTAAAGAAGGGTATTTTAGAATTTTAAAAAAATAGCAAATTTAACTACTTATTAGTAAGATTAAAAACGAACTAATTCTCAAATAAGTTTCTTTTACAGATTAAATTCATTATAAGTCTTTTAAAGAGGACTTAACCCCAAATTTCACCATAAAATTCCATCAAATTAATACTTCATTTTCGTGAAAATGTCGCACAATGGATGGGCTAAGCTAATTAGTTTATAGGCTTCTACTCTTTCATTTGACTCCCCATATCCGCATTAAATTTGGTGGCCCAATCCCCATAGACTAATTTGCTTAGTTTGGGAGGGAGAGAGAGAGAGAAAGAAAAAGAAAAAGAAGCAAGCAATTACAAAGAAAAAATGCTAGAGTCCAATCACGAATTCCACGCGGAATTGCGCAGGAATGAGATGTAAAATTTTGGGCAAAAAAAATAAAAATTAACAATGATTTTCAACCAATAAATTAAAATAAACATAATTTTAAAATAATTTCAACCTTGAAAAGTTAAAGTCATTTTTTAAAAAAAAAATGACTCTTACGAAGAATAATATATTTTATTATGTAGATCACCTACAAAAAATAATAAATAATATTTTTTTAAAAAATATTATTTATTATGAAAATAAATTTACTTAAAAACAAAGGTTACCCCAAACGTAAGACGTAAACAAAATTCCTTGCGGAGACTCTTACGAAGGGCGGCAATTTAGCAACCAAGTCAGAAGTATATTTATTACAAGAGTAAATTACATTTTTTGTCCTTTTGAAGTATTACTCTTATTTTGTTTTGTATCCTTCAACTATAAAATTTTTTACATTATACCTTAAAGTTTTAATTTTATTTCATATTACTCTAATAGATACCGATAAATTTAAAAATCTATAAAATGAGGGACGAAAACTCCCAAAGAACTTCTCGCTAAGTGGCTAATACTACCTTATTTTATCTCTTTTGCAACCAAATAATTGTTGGGAAGAAAAAGGTCGATCAGAGAAAAAAATTAGAAGGACAAAATCATGAATATGTATTTTTCTTGATTTTTTTGACATGCATATGTGTAATAGACTTATTAGCAATACAAACCACTCACATGCGCATTTACCGTCAAAAAATTAACAGTTGTTATCTATTGGAGTGATATAAAATAAAATTGATACTTTAAAATATAATATAAAAAATTTTATAGTTAAGGGTATAAAATAAAACAAAGGTAATAATTCAAGAGGGTAAAGTATAATTTACCCTTAATACAACATCCCCTGTTTTCTTCTCCTGTCCTTTTCCTGGCTGATTTGTGACTCTTTTGGCTGACCAAATTCATCCCCTATCGTTGGGCAAACTTTTATGGTTTTAGATTATACAATTAAGATTAATCCTATTTGAACCTAAAAATTTGACCTAATTTATTGATATAAAGATGTGGCTTCAGTGAAATCATTAGATCAACACTAAATTTCAATGTTTAATGGAGCATATAGTCAATCTAAAGGTTAAAGTTTAAACAAAAGAAAAAAATTAATTATGAAAATATTCCTCTGAAAACAAAAACTTCTTATATATATATATATATGCTACATATTGTCATAACAATTATAGCTCTTCATAAGTTTTCCCCTGTTTAATATTAACCAAAATACTTCCAAAACAAGTATAAACCTGATCTAAATCGCCTCCAATACTTTTTTTACTTCATTTTTGTTCTTTATAAATCATCATTAATGAGTGAGGACTCACTTATATCCGACGAGTCTCATTTAAATTTATAGTAAGTAATTTCTCAAGAAGAAAAATAGAGAAAAAAATATAATGAAAGAGAAAATAAATATAATGAAGAGAATCACACTCAAAAATCAACACATCAGTTTTGAATTTAAGAAACCTATATGTATATTGGTGCTCTCTCTCTCTCTCTCTCTCTCTCTCCAATGAAGAAGTTGAATTGACCAGCTAATGTCAAAGAAATTGATCCAAAAATTTCGCCTACATTACACCCCGCCTCTTCTAAGCAAATGAAAGACTCCTCTGGCGAAAAGTCTCCACCCCAACCACAAAGTAAGCAAGAGGACCAAGAGGGCAACACCACCACCACCACCACCACCCATTGTTCTCTTGAGTAAACCCCAAGCCTCCTTATCTGTTAATTCTCCACTTTCAAGCCTTGTTCCAGAGGCTCACATGGAAACACCTCAATATGGGTTTCTGCTAATCTTCTCTCTTGTTACCACCCTTGGCCTTATCTCCTGCTCATTTTGCATTGCTGCTGAATTCAAAAGATCAAAGGTATGTCTGTCGTCCTATGTACATTTGAATTGTGCTCCACTCGTTCCGAAACAATTGTTCATAACATGATTTCTTGTGTTGGGTGCGGTTTGTAGGAGGATAGTCTCAGAATTAATGGAACACTCTGTTATTTACCGGGAAGTACGGCGTTCGGGTTCGGAGTTGCTGCTTTAATCTTTCTCTTCATCGCTCAAATCATAGGGAACGTTATAGTCTGTAAAAATTTCTGTTCAGGAAGGCGGAGAAGCAGTTGTAAGGCTGAAAAACCTTCAATTGCAAGCATTTTTCTGGTCTTATCATGGTAAGGTGATGCACCGTGTCATGCATTGCTATTTCTGCCATCAATTTCTGCATAGCATCCCAACCCAATGCAACTTCCGTATGTATAAATCAATCAATCAATCATGATAAACACCAAACATTCACCAAAACAAATGTCTTCATTGAATTCTATCGTAATTTGATTTATTCATCGTAATTTGATTTATTCATCGAACAAAAAGCCAGGCACAAACTTCCACGTCCTTAGTTTGCACCTCCGGAGAAAAAAGACAAAATTTGTCTAATTACTTGTAATTTGTAGTTGATTGCATATATCCAAAATTCATGTTCATGAATGAAATCATGTTGTTGGGGGACCATAACTCCTCATGGGTCTTTAAAAATTCCTCTATTGTGCCAATATTTGAACAGCAACTTCTCTTGCTCCGGATGGAGTGTCCCATAAAACTTTTGAACCATAAAATTGGCCGGTTCCTTCATTATTTATATTGCAATTATGAGTTCAAAAGACATGTGATTGGACTGACCCTGGAACAAAACAACTATTTACCATTTTCAGTTGGCAAACTAGAATTGGTTTTACTCTAATCCCTCAAAAAGCTCCGAGATTCAACAACTAAGACAAATATATAATAATTTTGTACGAAGACGTTATCTGAGACAATGAAACAAACAAATTTTGAATTGGATAATGTTGCAGGATCAGCTTTGGAGTTGCTACAATTTTAATAGGTGCGGCCACAAGTATGACTCGTAGGCAGCCCCTCGGAGAAGGATGGTTAGATGGGGAGTGCTACATAGTCAAGGATGGTGTATACAGTGGCTCGGCAGTACTAGTTCTAATTACAGTAAGTTCACAGCTTATATCCCTCATCCTCATAACAAAGAAGAGCCAAGTTGAGAAGGACCAGAAGGTGCATACACAAGTTGAATAAAGAATATATGCATACCTCTTCAGGCCAACCCGGGGAAGAAGGAATGATTGGAGAGGAACATCTTCTTAGATATTAACTGCGCCAGTGGAAGCAGGCAAGGAGCCTCAGCCACACAACAGTTAAAAGGCAGCAGGAACTGCAAGTACTCGTTTACAATTGGTGGAGGGATAGGGACATGGATAGGGAATAAAGAACTGCCCACATCCCACTAGGGTCTTCTGCTCTAATCCTAACCCCAAAGAAATAATCCCTTTTGTTTTTTTTCCCCGAAGAACAACTTTATATTCTAATCAAATGATAGAGAGATGTTTCTTTTGTATGTGAATTTCCCATATTTATAGTGATACATGGGCAGGGACTATGCCAAAGTTCCCATTGACAAGTCGCAATATTCTCTTGTAGTCTTGTAGTTAGAAATTTTATTCTTCATAGTATGCATATCTATATAATAATAATAACGTACTACCAATACTCTCAACAGATTATATCCTTTAGTTTTCCCTCAACATTTAGAACCCCCCCCCCCCCAAAAAAAAAAAAAAAGTCTTCAATGCCTGCCAATGAACAAGAAATACCTCCTCTTCATTACTAATGGAGTGAGAGTAGAGGGCGGAGAAATCTCGAAATTGAGTATTGTATATTGTCCTCTTTGTGACTGCAAAGCAAACCAATCCTACAGAAATTGAAAGTGTTTTAAAAGAGATTACCTCTAAACTCGTCGATATCAGAGGACATTACACCCATCACTTACATCATGTAAGAAACATCATTTCCTAGAAATGCAAACAAAGGACGTAACATGCTTCCATTGCAAAACAAAGATAAGTTATCAAACAAGAAAGCCACCAAGATACGAGGCCTTCCTCCAATCACAATGTAAACCACATACCAAATTTTTTATGGCCTAATATCCATCTCAAATGAAGTTGTAAGAGAAAGTGGAGCCATCACAACAATGAAAAGTTTAATACAGCATATACATTCTTGGAATCCTAATGATAACTATGTATGCAATTCAAAAAAGCCGCCTCCAAAGACTTAACAGCCAGAAAGACAAATCATTTAAGAATAATGCAAAAAGACAGCCTCATTTAAAATGCAATTGGAAAAAAAGGATGAATTTACACCCATGAAAATTGTCAATCATTTTACTATTTAAGCATACAGCTCACAATGTTTCACCAAGGAACACATTTGTCTTGAATTCACAGTATGTTTGAAATAGTTGATGAAGACGTGTTAGCAAATACATAGATTTCAAACATCCATTCAAACAAGTATATACGTTTTTTTATTGATCCTATGTTTAGTAGATAGAATATGTAAAAATATTGACAATATAACCCGGCTGAGAATATTCATTAAATTGAAAGCGTTGCTTAAAAATAGTACCCAATTAAGGCTGGCTCATTGGCCAAAAAAAACATGAACCTGCCTTTGACAACAATTGTCATTTTTGCTACCAAACTATTAAACGATCCCCATTTGCCATACTTGCTGCCAATATTCCAGTCTAAATTCCCCAAAACACTATATAATATTTATCCTGAGATTCTTTCCTCGGAAGGTGGACTGTCAGATGAAGACGAAGCTAAAAGCATAACCGCCATCATAGAAGCAAGGATGTACCTTTGAATCACAATTTGCAAGAGTCACATATGCATGTGCATGCACCCTCCCCGTCCCCTATCACTGTAGTTGTATCCCCTTCTCCAATTATATTGGTCATCACCACGTCCAGCTCCATAGCCACCATGACCTGGGTGAGTTCTTTGCTGAAAACTGCCAAATGTCTGGGAAAATAGCAACAAATAAATGACTACTGAAAACTGGTTGGCCCCTTTTCAGGGGGGCCAATATTTTATCTGATCTTTCAACATTTTACAAATGAATATTTCCAAGGAGAGTTGACGAACCCGAGTGTCCAGCCTCATTCGTTCAGGAAACCTGTTGTGTACACTCCTTGATCCACGGGCAAGTGAATTACAAGATATTGTATCAAAGAAGTCATCCTTGTTATATGCAGGCTGCACAGAGCAGCAAAAACTATTACATTCAAGTGTATAGGCAAAAGATGGGGACAAAAAAAAGGCTTTTAACGCTGCCCAATATCCCTCTTCGGCTCTTCTGTTTCCAAATATTTTTACGAATACGCTTCTGGAAACATGCTTAAAGGATTGACCAACGTCTTGTACACTAAAAAAAACAAACATGCGTGACATTCAATTTCACAGAATGCCCATTTTGATAATCTTTTACTGCTTTTATTCAACTTTGAGATACTTCAATGAGGTACATATAGGGGCATGGACTCAAAAGGGAATTCCTGATCCAATCATTTGAATCTAATAAATTGTGGGCAGGGGCAACCTGTAAAATCTTGGGGTAGCTTCTGAAATAGAAATTAAGCAAAGGAGCATACGGGTAGCTTGGGGACTTTGGGCCCCCCCCCCCCCCGCCCCAAAAAAAAAAAAAAATATGTATACCCCGACTTTTTACTACAAAATATCACCACAGGGTTCCCCAAAATCTATAGTTCAAGAGATCATCATTTTTCAAAAAAAAACAGACATTATATTGAGAATATGGATAGAAAGCACAGAAACATTCCAATACCTACTTTGGAATCAACCTTCAGTGCCAAGCCATAAACCTCTCCATCCCCCAAACTTTGACTAACTGCATCATGTTCTATTCCAGCTGCTTCTTTTTCCATTTGCTTAGCTTTCCCCAGATAGCCCCATATTTCATCCTTTTTGAACTTCTCATTCATGGCTACAAAGTCAAATTCCTCCATGAACTGTGTAGTATATCGAGACTGCATATGTTCCAACAGCTTTCAGTCTAAGTTTAGAAGTCAATCAGAAATAATATTCTAGAGAGGTACAAACACATACAAAACCCTTTTTATAATAAGTGCAGCTTTGTTTGCCAAAGATGAAGGTTTTCGCGCAAATAGACATACCCAAAACATATACAAATATATGTTGATCATATATGTTCTGTCCATGCATGCACCATTGCATGTAAGCATATAATACACTCTATGATAGAAACTCTTGCTGTCTATGCTTTGAGATGATCCAAGTTTTATATTTCATTTCATTATAATCCTCCACTTGCACTCTATATCTACTGCATATAACTGCATTTATCAATGAGAAAGCAACCTATAAGAGACATTACATCAGTTATCTACTAGATATAGAGAGGATTGGCTTCCTGACAATTTCCCACGTGTAATTTAATTGAGGTGGTTTGGCCAGCAACTCCTCACATGCATCTCATTCTAAAAATCACTACCACCTCTTCCAAATACATTCTCAATGCCATTGTACAACTCTTAATAACTAAGGTATCACCCCTTCCAACAACATTACTGATGTTAAGAACAAAAGTTAAAAGAAAAACTACATATCAGTTTCTTTATGAAATCGGATATCTCAGTCAGTTAAAAAAATTAAGTAAACCAACCAAAGCCTTCAACCAAAAAGCATCAACTGATCTTGTGGAAATTCATAATTGCTACAGGTGATAACTTGTCATTGGACAGAGAGTTTGAATGCAAAACAAAAACAAGAAAATAGTGCAATTCTTGCAAAAAAGGTAACATTCTATCTGACCTGTTGTGAAGAGAGAGGCAATGGCAAAAGTGGCTCTTGAACAGCTGGACTGGAAACTGAGGATGAGGAACTAGGGGGTGCTAAATTCAGAGCACCTATATGCTTCTGATCAGGGTATGGTTTCTGTGTGAGAGGAATTGCAGACGACCAAGGTTGTGACAAATGATCTGGTGTTAGCAAAGTTGGTGGTTGCTTCAACAAGGAACCTGAAGTAGAATCCACAACTACTGATATAGAGTGTGGCAAGGGCTGAACAGGAAGGACTGATACAGTGTCAGAGCCTACTTTACCAATCATCGGAGTTTCAATAGTGCTCATACCTTGACAAGATGAGGAACTTGAAAACTTGGTTGTCCTATTAGCACTCAGAACAGCAGGATGAGAGACCAGAGGTGACTTTACAGAAAACAATGTGGTCTTATCAGTAAGAAAGGTAGAATATTGTTCAGGAATAAGTGTCGGTACACAATTTGGATGCACACAATTAGAAGTTGTAAGTGAAGGTACAGGTGCGACGCCAATGGGTGCATTTCTCAAACCAGTGGTTGTGGACACCTGCACTGTAGGAGTCTGTAAAGGATTCTGCACTGTCAAAGGTGATGTTGTAGTGACAGATGAAAGAGAATTCTGTGGAGCATGGGGAATAGTGCTTGCCATTCCATCATATCCTTGCAAATACTTTGGCATGGCAAAAGATGGCACATTGGTACTTTGAGGTATTTGAGAAGGATCCCAAGTTCCCACCTGGGTTCCATGCTGATGTGAAGGCAACACGCCCGGATAAGATCTATGGTTCAAAGCAGGGGGTTTCTGGTATGACCCAAATTCTGTTAAAGATCCACCACCAACTGACACTGATTTTGACGAACTTGGAGGTGCAGCAGGACAGTGAGACTGCAATCAAAAAGATTATTCAACAAATAAATACATGGATGTGATAAAATTTTAATTTGTTATCCATAAGATATTAATCAAGTTTATTAATCACCTGAATAATAGCAGGATCATAGTGCATTGGTTCCTCAGTTTGAGTAGGTGGAGAGGACTTCACTTGCAAATCCTGAAATCGAATTAAAAAAAAATTCTGTATACAAACAATTGAAAGGAGTCGACCCCGAAATCATAATATTTTAGGGTTCCAAGCGAATAACTAACTATAAGCTTCCAATGCTCAAGCCACCATAATATTGCAAACAAATACAACCATGTACCAGAAGTCTATACTAGCAATTCAACCTTGTTGTAAAAAGCAGCAATTTACATACCTGCACAACCACTGCGAAATACAAAGAATATACTAAATTCCGTTAAGAGGATGCACTATTCAAAAATAGGAACTATCAGCCCCTTTTTCTCAAAAGAATCAAGCAGGTCAGTGAATTGAGCAACTGATTTTTTTCTAAAGAGATTCCAATGGTTAGTTGGCTTTCCGAGAGTGAAGGATCATGTGTACTTACTTAGGAATTATGAAAGGATAAAACATTATGAAAATTGGAATTATTATGTGGTGGGAGATGGTATAGATAACCTTTTAGGAACCACATTCTGTTTGGGACTTTACCTTCTTGACAATTGAATTCTAGCCCGGAAAAATATCACAGCACACAAGGATCTTAGACTGCTCACAACTTCAACTAAAGAGGATCTGAATACATAGCAACCTACCGTCGGAAGATCCCTATATGTGGAATTGGGTTATATTGAAGAGTACTTGAATTGTAATGTCACATGAAAGACACAACTCCGTATTGAGCATCCGCCGAATACGAGGATTCCAGCCAGGTCCATTTCATTTCTTTTAATTTGACAATTTCCTTTCCCAATTTTTCTTCAGTTGAGAGTAGATGAAGGCAGAATGAAACTCCCAGCTCTTTGAAGTTGGTCTTTATGGCTTTGTGCCATAACTCTCAAACCTGCTACTCCCAATTTTGATCACCAAGTGTCAAAGAGGTAGTCCATCTATGTATGTACTTGTGTTTTGCTTCCTTGGATGCCATTAGTGTTGCTTTGTACTTTCGCAAGAAAATAAAGGATTTCCTCCAAGGTTAATTTCATAATTTGGACTCATAAGCCAGGTAAAATTATTGAAGTCTAGCATTCTAAATATGCATCATCCATGTGTATATTCGTTCAATGTCACAAATCACCTTCAATAATTATGATAGGCTTTTCTTTTAAGATTTTGGGAAGCAACCTGACCCCACATGTGATGCCTAATGGATTATGGGAGTAATCTCTATAAAAATGTATTTATTAATCCTAACCAAATCATATAAAACATCAAACTAGTGTATTCCTGTTCACCTTAATGTCACTTCCTCGAAACAGGATGTATTCAAAAACTTTGTCACTCGGAGCAATCTGTGGACCATCTTTCTTTCGCCCCTCAGTTCCATACGACCTCACTGCAAAAAAAATATGCATAAAGGTATCACTAACAATATTTATATGTAAACCACAAGGAAAAGTTACAACAGCATACATTCTTCCCAACACAAACCAAATTCAACACCACAAATAACTTTACATTTATGTTTACCCGCAATCTCGGAGCAAGGTTGAAATGTAACTTCAAGCCATGATCCCAAAATACATTAACCCAAGAACACAACAAAACGTGTAGTGTCTTTGACCAAAACAATGACAATATTCCAACCTTAAACTTCCTGGTAATGACTGATTAACCCCCCCCCCAGCTAAATAAAAATTAATGAATGCTAACAGAAATAAAAATCTCTACAACTGGTGAAAAAGGTTTTGTATGGCAGAACACCATTCTGAAATGAAGCTATATAAATAAGTCAACCAAAGAAAAGGCATCATCAATAAAAATTTTGTGGATAGCAATCAACTATTACTATCAACAGATGTAGCCATAAGTTGCTGAAAAAAGACCCAAAAAGGGGAAAGAAAAAAGCAGCATAATCATATCACATAAATTCAAAAGGGGAATGACAACAGTTACACACAGTAATCGTGATCAAAAGCATAATAATCCAGTTCAACTCAAAACCATTATACACAAAGTCACAAATTGCTAAAAGCTATAAAAAAAAATTCGCATTTCAATATGATATGGGCCAATCATCTCTTTGACTACTCATTTTATCAACACTGTCTAAAATTAGCAAACCAAGCTCCAACGGCAGTTACAATTATCCCTACATACAATAACCAGTTTCAAATGATACAAGTTTTGTAATCGTATTCTAAAAAATGCAAATTGTATGAACAATTGAACATAATTAAAACAGAGTTCACTTAGTTACATGCACCTGAAGACAAAGAATCCACTAAAAGGATTAACAACCAGGAAATTCAGGGCACGGCACAATCTCTAATTGAAATCTTAAACCATCTCTTTTCACGCTGCAGTATTAATGTGTCTAAAAATATATCACAGCTCTAAAAACTCTTCAGAGTTGTATCTTCACTGCTTTATCACGTCTCTTTACAAAGACAAACTACCACAAATAAAAAGAACCATGAGCTCATACCGCATATCCTCAAGTGCACATTCAAAAACAAAAAAAAACAAAACAAAACAAAACAAAAAATCACTTTATGAAAAAATAAAAAATGACCCTTACAAAAGAGGAGGCATTCAACTACTCTGCACAATGAAACTCATGTATATAATATATAACACAAAGATATGTAAAAGTATATGTATATGCACATATATGAGTGCGAGCGAATACGAATGCGTTTTGATGAGTAGAAAGATCGAATCTCGAACCGTTCTTCAAGCCGATGGTGGAATCTTGGGGGTTGAGATGGTAAAGAACGCCTTCGTAACGTATCTCGTACTTCGACGTCAGACTTATAAAACTTCCGATGTACGAATCTGCCGACGACGACGTCGCTTTGTTGGTAGATTCATTCTCCATTGTGGAGATGACCGAAATGGAAAACGCAGGAAAAGTGAAGGAAAATGTAAGAAAATCTTCTTCGGCTAATTAGGGTTCTCTCTCTCTCTCTCTCTCTGATCAGTTTGCTCTCTGCTTTGGTCGGTTGGTTCTATGACCTTTTGTCCGTGCGACAATTATAGTTCTTGCCGCTTTAAAAAGTGGGCCCTGTTCTTTAGCAAAGCTTTAAAAATTGTGCTAAAATTCCAATCTAAGTCAATCCACCGATGCCAACACAAACACACCCTTATTATCATACTTCTATTTGCTATTGCAATAAAAATTATATTTTAGTATTATATTTCTATTTTGTGGTTCGATAATGTAGATATGTCTAAAATTATTATACTTATTAATTTTTATATTATTTTTAGACTATAAGCAAACAAATTTTTCAATAATTCGACTAAGGTATAAAGGTGAAGATACTATACAAATTTAACATATGATGTTACTTTCTTAAAAAGATATATAATATCCTTTGAGTGAAGTATGTTATGCATATTATTATTGAATCATATCAGTATACTCGGGGTAATTCATGTCTAAAGTTACGGTACAATATAAATAATTTTAAAAGAAATGTTGATGGGCGTCATATGAGTCTATTTTAGGCAGTTGAATGAATTTAATGAAATCTATCATATTTTATATTATATAATTGGTTCTTTCTAAGCATACATATTAAATTTATATTGCTTTTAATTTTGTTGGAAAACTATAAATATTGTTTGTGATGTGTTATTGATGACACAATAGGTTATTGGTATAGGCAATCCCAGGAAAAACAAAATCCATTAACACTCCCTTTAATTAAGTCTAAATTTAATGATCACCCCTTCTCGATTTTGAAATTTCACTGTTATCCCCTGTCAGTGTTTGTTATGTTACAACGTTAACGATAATTGTTAATTTACAGAAATACTTTGAATATTTTATAGAATAAATTTTATCCACACTCCTTGTAAATAGACATAACTTCAACGACACCCCCTATAAATAGACCTATCTTTTACAATACCCTCTCCCAATTCTGAAATTTCAATGTACTCTCTTTTAGTTCTATTATATTAATATTTAGGTTCATCAATTTAATATTTAATTTTATCAAATTAATGTCATTTATTTAATTTAAACTAAATTAACATTTCATCTCATCAAATCAACACAAAATGATATTTAATTTTATCAAATTAGCATTTAGTTATATTAATTTAATATTTTATTTCATAAAATTAATATTTTTTCTTTAATTTGGCATTAAATTATTATTTAATTGTCATCAAATAAACACCAAATTGACATTTAGTTTCATTAAATTAAAATTTAATATATTAAATAGAATATTAAATTTATTCAATTAATATTAAATTTTATTAAATCAACATTGAATATAAATATCAAATTAATATTTAAATTTATTAAATTAAGAACAAATTTATTCAATTATAATTAAATTTTATCAAATAATATTTAAATTTTAACATGAAAGGTAAAGAGTGATCAGGTGACGTTGTGGAAAACAAACGATAACAAAGGAGTTAGAAATGGATGACATTTTGATATAGACATTAATCTCTGTCTCTGTCTCCACCAACAGTTGAAGAAGACATTAATCCTACAAAAATACACACAACATATTGACATAACAAAATGGAAGAAAAAAATATTCAAATGTGCATGAACAAAATAAAAACAAAAAATTGCATGAAAAAAATTTTAAATTCTACATGAAAACAATTAAAAATATCTACAAGAAATTTTTTGTAAAAAAATCATGAAAATTTTTAAAATATCTGCATGAAAAACATTACAAATCTGCAAGATTTTTTTTTTTTACCAACTTAGGTAATGATCGATCATTGTGGAGAACAAGTTGAGCAAGAATAGCTAGTTTCAGTCCCTTATGTCTTCAAGCTACACCAAATCGTTTTTTACCTTTAACAACAATAAAAGGTATGATATATATAGTGGGCAAAGAGTTAAGGGCATTTTAGTATATTTACATAAGGAATAGTAGTTTTGACATTTTCAAAAATTTTATAATCAAACTGTTATTTTTTGTACTGATAGAGTTAAAAATTACCGTTAAGGGGGTGTATTTGATTTGAAAGTATAAACCAGAAAGGGGTGCAATGAAGTTTCAGAATCAGGAGGGGATGTCATTAAATTTAGACCTAATTAGAGGGAGTGTGGATACAATTTTTCAAAAAAAAAATAGTGACCTACTTTAATTCAAATTCAAATTAAAATAATAAAAATACATTTCCCCTTCCTTCTAGTCTTATATATAGATTTTGAAAGGTTAGAATTCAAGTACTCAACTTACAACTTGCAAGAGTTGAACCACTTTTAGTAGAGAAAGAAAAACTTATAATAGGAATCGAGTTTGTTATTTTACAATATCATAATCTCATGATATTGTTATTTGAATTTTACATTGTAATATGCAATAGAATGATAAAAATACTTATTCCCATCTTAACAAATAAAAATATGTTTTATTAATTTAATCTTATATAGAAAAAATGAAGTCTATAAGTATTAAATATTTAAATCTTTTTTATTCTCGTTCTTATATTATATAATGTTCAAATAATAGGAATTGCATTCCCCATCAAATAAGTGTTAACGAAATTACTTCGTGTTGCGATCCCGATGCCCATTAAAACACAAACTCTACTCACCATTAACTTGGCTTGGCTGCAAGTTTGTTGGTGCAAATACACCATATGAGAACTCTACTAGGTAGCGATGATAGTGGACCGAAACGAGGGGTATGGGTGTAGTCTCCATCCTCATACCTGTTTTAAAAAACTTCGTTTATCCCCGATCCATCCTCGTTAACGGATATAATTTTCATTTTTATCCCTGTCTGTGGATAAAATTATAATTCCGCCCCTGCCCTCACCCCCTCCCCCGCCCCTGTCCACCTTACCCGGCCCAGCCCAAGCTCAAGCCAATATAATCTAAAGTTTTAAATAAATGTAATATTTTAAATAATTCAACATAATTATAGAATATCATAACATAATTAAAAATTTATCATCTACAACATAATCCAACATTATATAATTAAAAAGCTTGTCTCCAATATAAATTCAACACAATATAATGTAACATAACATAATCCAACATAAAAAAAAAACAAAAAAAAAACACACAAAGATTTATGCTTTTACAAGCCAAAAACATGAAAAAAAAGTCAAAAAATAAAATAATTTTCAAAAGAAAAAAGCATTCAATAATATATAATTTTGTATTCACAACAACATGTATGTGTGTATATATAAAAAATATTGGGTAAAACGGGACGGGGGTAAGTGTCAGCCCATCTCCGCCTTCATCCCTGCACGGGTATCCCTATATATATCCACCATTTAATACATATGGTCCATCTCCGATCTAAACAGGACGAATTTGGACGAATACCCATTTTTATCCGGTCCACTGCCAATCAGTCATCCTTACTAATAGAGTCCAACAATGCAATTGACTCGTGTTAGTTTTTTTTTTTTTTTTACATTACTCATGTTAGTTCACAATGGTTTTGCTATGCAAAAAAAGTCCTTTCTCTAACATTCTCTCAATTTGGGCATAACATATATCCTCTATTTGCTTCATTTTTAATAAATTGCCAAAATTCCAGCGTCTAAAATGTACAAAAATATAGTAAATGACAAATATCACATAATGAGATAAAAAGTAATGCAAACAATATGCACCTACCATTGACAAAAATGTATAAAATAATAGTTAATGGTGCTTAGAATTTATTGCCCAAGCCCAATAGGTTATGTGGTGAAGTTCTAGATGGATTAGGTGGGTTGCAGATTGATCGCTAATGAACAATAAGACGAGAAATATAAGTGGTTCACCTTAGCCGATGGATTAAGGCTACGTCCACTACCAAGGGAGTCTCCTGCTCCTTTTGTTCATTTATTACTTGGTCAAAGACACACACATAGCGATTGGGGACACAGGGTCCCTTACAAAGGGTGAGTATTTAACTTTGTTCACTGGTTTTTTTGGGTTTGTAAATGCTTATGGGGGAAGGAAGAGAGTCCTTGCTCCTCGTTAGGTTACGGTTTTCTATTTATACTAGGATCTCCCTTTGGGGTTTCCAGTTATTCTCCTCTTAGTGCTTGATCCTGTGAGTCCTTCTCTTTGCACTCTGCTGCTCTCTGTTCATCCAACACCACTGTTCATCCGGCACCACTGTTTATCCAGTGCCTCTGTTGCCACGATCTCTAGTGGCTGGGTGCTCCACCTTCTCTGTTCTGAGACTATCCTAGGTGTCCCCGAACCTTTAGGATGCATGGTCCCCACAGGTGACCCAAAAATGATATTTGGACCAGGCTTTCAATCTTTGGGTTGTTTATTGGTTGGGGTTGGGCTTGGATTGCTAAGTTATAAACCTTCTGCCGATGTTGGGTCCTTTCTTCCTACTCTTGGCCTTCTAGGCTCGTTAGGCTTTTGGACCATGGAGGCCTACGCCTTGAATTTTATCCATATTAGTTGCCCCCAGCCCCAAGTCATGAGGATGTCATCATCTCTGATCTGGGGTTACAGACGGCTTTCCTAGACCCGTCGTGGGCTCTTCAAGAGGCGACTATGCTCGACTATTGGTTCTGGTCAGGATTGGGCCTCATCTCTATTTGCCGGTGATGATGGGATGGTAGTACACACGTGTCAACATCGGGTGAACTTGCGGGCACGACTTTTGTGGCGTGTCCCGTCATTTGCTTGTCACAAATTAAATGTTTCACTCGCATATGTATGTAGATATTCAAATAGAAGGAAGGCCCCTTGGTCCTCCAGTTGCCTTGATGATGGGGATTTGGAAGAGTTGAGGCGGGAGTATATCTTTTCGGACTTCGTGGAATTGCACTCCCCCGAGAAGCACGAGAGGTGCAACTCCACTCTCCCTGGGCTAACTTGCTTCTTTGAGTCTGCATTCCAGGTTGGTCTTCGATACCCTATCCATCATTTTATTCGGAATACTCTTGGGTTCTATAACGTTTGTCCAACCCAACTTTCTCCCAATGGTTGGGGCCTCTTAGTTAGTTTCCTTATTCATTGGTTTGAGAGTGGGA